GGGCTCAGCGACGATGCGAGGGTGCGATCGGCGAGCATGGCTCGGCGATGGCGCGCGAGTAGCGGCAATTTCGATGTAAGACCCAATCAGCAGGACGAAGACCTTGTGCAGATAGATGGCGCAGCAAAGAGTGCGCGGTACAGTCGTCGATGCACAGGGGACGGTGATGTAGATGCAACGACGACGCGAACACACGACGGACGGTGGTCTTGCTGCGACTGACGAGGCGACATGGCGGCAAGAAGCCGTGACCTTATTGCTCTCGGAGAAGATGCGATATAGTACTCGGCAATGGACGCCACGGAGAGCGGTGGATCACGATAATCGGGTTGTACGAACCGAGTACGCGCGAGGTGGAGCGACATGGAAGAAGTCGACGAGGCGCCCCGATCGATGGTGGTGATAACGAACCGACGATGTAGACATGCGATTGAATGACCGAGAAGCGACGCGGGGAAGGCGCCCCCAAGATCGCCGCGCTTTGCCAGCCAGCCGCATAGTTGAAGATGTAGATGTCATTGTAGTCGATGCCGATGCCGGAGTAGGTATGCGCGAGGTCGACTGGCGATGGGCGACTCAATCCCGATCAGTGATCGGGCAAACCAAAAAGATACAGCAGCAACGGATCAGGTGTACCCCAACAACAGTGCACCTCAGCGCGGCTCGTCCCGGCTCGCGGCACGAGCTACCGAAGTCGGACGGGGCGGGGCGCACGGCGGGTCGCGTGAAAGCATCTAGGTCCCTAATTGGGTTTCGGTAATTAATGACAATAAAAGATTACTGTGACTAACGTGTGTTTTACAGAGGCAATTAAGTTAGGTCACGGTAATGGAGATCGATTGGGCAATCGTGGATGTCATGCCCCTACGATGGAAATCGTTTCGGTTTTCAAAGGATGGACGACAAGGTTAAGGATGACTAGTTCTAAGTGTCGTTTGGAATTGAAGAGACACTTAGAGTAGTTTAGGACTTTGTTTTTCCTTTGGCCGTACTATTAAGGGGGGTATGGACGGGTAGCTTGACCTAGGTGAGTCTAGTGAGTAAGGTGTGGTGCACACTTGTTGGAACTAGCACTAGGTAGCTCCTAAATATGCCTAAGATCCTTTGGAGCAAACTTCATTCACAAATGATCAAGAGTTGGAAGTGAATGGAGGGTCAAAGACTGATCGGACGCTGGCTCCGGTGCGACTGGACGCTGGCCACAGGGTCCGATCAGTTCTTTTGACTGAGGTGAACTAGTCCGGTTTGACCGGACGTTGGAGAGGTCAAATGACCGGACGCTGAGGGCCAGCGTTCGGTCGACTCCAGTAAGGTTCCAGAGAAGAGAATCTGTGACCGGATGCGTCCGATCAGTGCTGACCGGACCCTGGGGGTTCAGCGTCCGATCGAGTACAGTAAGCATCCGGTGAGGGAAAAATGGGACCGGACGCGTCCGGTCAGTGGTGACCGGACCCTGCCAGCGTCCGGTCAACACGTAAACACTGGTGTGCGGGTTGAACTGACCGGAGCGTCCGGTCAACATGACCGGAGCGTCCGGTCACCCCGCAGAGGCACATAACTGTTCGTTTTTCAGGCTGTCTTATAAATAGAAGCTCCACTCGTGTGTGGAGTGACTTTTGCTCATTTCAACAGCTGAAACACACCTTAGAGAGTGCCAAGAAGAGCAAGGTCCTAATGAAGTGATTGAGATTTGAGAATCCAAAGAGAGCCCTCATTAGTGAAGATCAAGAGTAGCAAAGTGTGCATCCACCCTTCTCCCTAGGCTTGTTGTGGTCAAGTGAGAGTTCGTACTTGTTACTCTTGGTGATCGCCATCACCTAGACGGCTTGGTGGTGATTGGGAGCTTGGTGATCATCCGGAGAGCTTGTGGATGACCCAACTCAAGTTGTGAGCGGTTGTGGGTGATTCACCACGACGAAGTGTCAAAGAATCAATCCGTAGAGAGCACTTGATCCTTGCGCGGATCAAGGGGGAGCTACACCCTTGCGCGGGTGCTCCAACGAGAACTAGTGGGGAGTGGCGACTCTTCGATACCTCGGCAAAATATCGCCGCGTTTCCTCTCATCTCTTTACTTTGACCATTTCAATTCTTGTCATTTACATTCCTAGAATTATCATGCTAAAGTAGGATTGGAACTAGGTTGCTAAACTTTTATGCGTTAGATCAATAGAAACACTTCTCTACGCACAAAGGGTTAATTGGGCTAACCATAGGACTTGTTTATTGCGAAGAAATTTAGAATTAGCTCAATTCACCTCCACTCTTGGGCATCTTGATCCTTTCATCGCGGTCACGCGAGGTTGCACGAGGATGACGCAGATTGGCCGACCGCCACCATGGCGGCGCGGTGTTGGGGTCGATCTGCCCGGGCCACCACCACGGCGGCGCGGGATGGGGCAACGCCCAGCATCCTCCACGGCGAGCGCGGTGAGGGCGGCGAGGTAGCGCGACGCCGCGAGAAGACCCGATCTGCCGCTTGACGACGACGAAGAGGGCGCGGGATCAATAGGATCCGGCGCCTAAAGAGGTGGCGCTGCCCCCGGCGGAGATCGATTTCTCCCCGGGGGCGCGCGGTGCGGAAGCGGCGGCGGCTAGGGTTAGGATCTAAACCTAGGCGAAGGAGAATATAAATGGTGGAGATTGTGTTGTATTGCATTGGGCCTCATGGGCTGATTATATAGAGTACAAAGGACTAACACCTCACGTGGTTAGACAATGTGGTACTATTCCTAGTTACTCTAACATGGGCGAGGACACAAGGTGAACCGTTCGATCTGGGTCAATGTGGGTCAGTCACCCGTTAAACCGCGAACCCAAATCGGTCGGTACTCGCGAAACGTCGCGAACGCGCCCGTCTCCTCGTCTCACCGCCGCTGCTCCTACCGTTGCGCCGCCTTCCGCCATCGCCCTTCTTGCCCCCCCTGTGCTGGCCTGCTCACGCGCCGCCAGCTCCTGCCCCCTCCGCGACCAGTTACTCTCCTACAGCGCCTCCTCGACCGCGGCGCGGGAGCCCCCGCACACCAGCCCCCGCGACGGGACGGCACAACGGCGCGAGAGGCCCTCGACCTGCTAGCCTGGGCCCGAGCGCCCCCGGCGCGGCAGCCCAGGCACGGGCGTGCCGGCGCGCGACGGCCTAGGCACGAGCGGCCACCTGCGCAGCGCACCATAGGTGTGCATGGTCCCCGGGGCAGCGGGCGCGGCCACCACCACGGACGACAAGCGTGGGCGCCACCTAAGCCAACGAGGCGGCGCGGTGAACTGAGCACGACACAGCACGACGTGGGCGTTGGACCACCGACGAGGCGGTGCCGGCGAGCCGAGCGCAGCGTAACACGGGTATAGCTCTCCATCCTCCTCGTCGATCCCTGCTGGTGTGCAAAAGCAACGGGAGGTTCCTGTTACTGGTTCGATATTCTTGCTCCCCTTTTCTGCTTACTGTCACTGCAGCTTGTAGTGAAGCTGTGGTGTTTGATGAAATGTGCATGTGTTCATCCTATTTTATTTGTAAAACTGCGTTCATCACCAATAGACAATGCTCAGTTCTCAAGTTTGTGCAAATGTCCTTTCAACCCGGAGCTAAAGTGAAGAACTGAAGATGATGTACTGTATATGTCAAAACCACTAATTTTTTTTATTTCCGATTAATGGTATTTGCACCTTGCAGGGCAGATGATAGCATGTACCTATGGACTATATACATGGATTGGATATTTAACAAGTACTATAGTAGGTTTATCTAATTATGTAAGCTTGGTGCGTAGAAGTTTGATAAGCGATAAAGTTAGTTCAGCGGCTGCCAGCTATTTGTCATCATCTGAACCGCATTGGAAATCTGAATCACAATTTAAACTTCCACATATATGTTGTAGTGCTAATTCAAAATCTCTATTTGATACAATTATGCAATTTCTTCCCTGATATATCCTAACTGCTTATGTTCCTCTTAATGCAGGGATAATAGTAATTTTACCATCACAAATGGGCTGAACGAGCAAAGGTAAAAAAATCCTGTTGAGTCCTTTTCCCTCCTCAATATTGTGATGTATACTTTAATTCCACTGATCCTAAATTTCAAGTGGACACTATTTGCGCCCTCCTGTGCAGATGAGAGCATGTGGCTTTGGGCAATAAGCAATGGATTGGACAGCTAAGGAGCACTACTTTTAGTTTTCTTATCATGTATACGTTATCTGAAATCTGTAAGGTTTGGTGCATCCAATTTTGATCAACTAGTGAAGGGTGCGTGCCATCGAGCGCACGTGCAGATAAATTTGGCGACTGAATTGGTGTGATATAGTATGAAGCACTTACAAAGTCTGGTTCACATTGGAACATTCATGGACCACTATAAGATGAACAAATTTTTAGCATGATAGAGTATGGTTCTAACATATGTCACATGTGGTTCTAACATTACATAGATGAGTTTTGTAGCTGCAGCAACATCCTAATTGTACATAGCGTGATAGCTAGTAGGCGGTATAGCAACGGCTGATACCTGATGGTTTTCTACACTACGCCGCATCATAGGCTCTTGGTACATAGCAATGGTACCTTGCTTTATGTACAAAGCGTTCGGTAGAGTAATTATACATGTTGATTGGATGGGCAGTGATGATCATCTCTGTATTTTGGATCTTGGTCTGAAAGGAATCTGTCCATGGAGGCTCTGGTGTTGCTCCTGGATGAATCTGTTTGTGGATTTGATTGTGTTAGTTTTGTTTTCTCTGTGAATTGTAACATAAATGTAATGTGAATGGGTAAGAAATGTACATGAGTCCTGGTAACGACGCATGCATTCCGTGTGGTGGCTGCATCCGGATATGTAGCCTGGGAAGCACGAGAGAGAGTATATGGTGACGACTGTGGCTTGTTTTGTTTGTATTTTAAGACAATGCAACTACCTTCCTAGAATAAATCAATTTTGTCCATTAGAAAATAGGAATGAAATGCAAGAACCAATAAATTCTAGAGATTTACCTATTACTATTTTTCTATTTCACCTTGTGAATCGGTCCATGGTGTCTCTCCTCCAAGGGGACTGCAATCCATCATGCTCCAGCCTCTCACCATAGCCCACTTGAGGTTTGTGGTCCATTTCCTCCAGCAGCACCGTCGCTGCCGTGTGCCAACGCCTCTGCCCGTCACTGTTGCTCCCAGCGCCAAAGTTGACCTTGCATCGTTGGAGTTCCATAAACTATATTCCCATACATGTAAAAACTACCACACATTGTAAATTCCTTTAACAAATTATGGCTATTTACTGGGATCGAAGAAACACTGAATTCAGTGACCAAAGATTTGTGTTGCTGATATGAAATTAGGGAACAAAGCAAGCATATGAGATAGGTTGACAATAAATAGCTCAAACAGCACATAAGAAATTCCAAACGGTGAGAAGCATGCCAGTTCTCATAGTAAACTGAGAACTACCCAGCAGGCTTGTCACCATGGACATTGCAAGAGTCTGGGTACTGGTAAACTGCAGGCAACTAATAACAGAGGAATGTTGCTTACCAATGGACCCTTTAGTTAGTTATCACACCACCCGATCTCCAAGATGCATAAGTACCTCTTTCCCAATAGGCTCGTCACCATGAATATGCATAAGTATCTCTTTCTCAATAGCAACAGTTCTGAAATCTGAGTTGAAAATAGCCGCAAAGAAAAGAAGAAATGAACATGTCCATAAGCTACTAGTATTTAACTGACTGATGCAAGACAGACATGAAAAGGCATTGGCAGGGTGGCTAAACAAACCAGGCGAATAGCAAAGTATATTGCTCGTATTTCACTGTCCGAAATCCCTAAACTTGTTAGCTGCACAAATCCCAATCAAGCCCGCTGCAGACTGCATAATGTCAGGTTGCAATAAGCTAAAAAAAGAATAAAAATCTGAATTTTTGTAGCCAATCCAGAGATAAAAACAATCTCAATAAAAAGGGCGTACCCAGTGCAAAGAGCTCCCGCTCTGTGCGGGGTCTGGGGAAGGGTGTCAGTGGCAAGCCTTACCCTCGCCTGTGCAATGCGAGGAGACCGCGACTCGAACCCGGGACCTTCTGGTCACAGGCGGTAAAACTCTACCGCTTGCACCAGGCCCGCCCTTCATAAAAACAATCTCAATCCAAAGATAAAATAGAGAGGATGTATCCAGTTGAGGTTGCAATCCCTAAGAACAATGAGCATTTGTATCAGTTAACAAAATATAAAGAGGAAGAGTCTATTTTTTTTTCTTACTTGAGACAGTAATGCTATACAGATGGAATACATCATGTCCAAGAGCACCCCAAAGCGATCTTATTCCCACAACAGAAGACATATCAGCCCTGAAAAGACATGAGATTCAAAACCACCCTTGATTTTTTTTTGTCTAGAATTGAGTTAGTATCAAGTCAGGTTTGTTTGCACTGCCTTCATAACTGAACCAATTGTGATATTAGAATCTGCTAAAGTTGCTATGAATGTGTTTTTTTTGTTTGGTTAGATGGAAATATATAGAGATTGAGGACAAACCTTGATCACTTCTGCCTAGAACTGAGGAAGTTTGAAGTCAGGTTCCTTTGCGGCGGGCAACATGATTTGTTGGGATGTAACTATCTTTGGAATATGTGAGGAAACAATAGTTGTAGCATTCTTTTCCTGTTGGTGATGTTAAAGCAATCTTCTCTGTCTTATCACGAGGATAGACTACAGGCCATGAGAAAATAATTAGTAACGCATGGAGAAAACGGTAACGTAATGATGCAGCAAATCTGTCAAGAGAGGACGGCAAAAACACATTTGATACAGCAAGTACTACCAGGTTATCAAGAAAAGGATAAACCATATAAGGCAGATGTAGTAGCACTAACTGAAAATTAATGACGTTACTACCTTATAACACAATAGCAATAAAAGATAATTAATGGTAGAGTAAGTCTCTCAAAGCAACACTAACATTCATGAACAATGTATTTAAGGGATGATCCATTTATGTGAAATACAGGAGCCTTAATTGAAAATGGGACTATATGTAGAACATTTTCAAGAAAAAAAGATCTAGTAATCAGTATCAATGGAAACTTGTGTGAGCTTATTTGCCTTTTTTTTGCAATGCTTTGGTCTGAGGCTTAATGTAACTAAATTAAGCGAACTTAATTCTTAGAGACAATAGAGGAAGTTGTACTGCACTTCGCTAAGCACTAAGTATCAGTGACCATATTTAAACCTTTAACCCTCACTGACCCCTGCTATTCTATTTGAACAAATCCAAATGCATGTATAACCCCGACTCCGTTGTTTTATAAAAGGAGCAAGCCTCACTGTAACACCATTATATATAAAAGAACTGCACTAATAAAAGTGGAGCACCACTATTCTGAGGGAGCATCATACTTTTTATGGAGCAGTGCTGCAAGGAATCATGCTAACATTAGTGTTTACATACCAGGCTGCAACAATTAAAGCAAAATCCAGCTAAATTAGATTTAGCTAAATTAAATTCAGCTATATTTTTTTTTTGGTTTTAGGCAGCTGTGACCAGAATGCACGACATGGACAGGAAAAAGAGAAGTACTGCATTAGCGAGACTGCCATTGTGGATAATATAGCATGTAACACTATGAACGAAACTAATTAGTAACATGAGCACACACCTGAGCAGACTAACACGACGGTGTCAGAGGTGGCGAACTTGTAGAGCAGACTCCCAGCAATGAAATGGAAGGGCGAGGCTAGGCAATAGGCTGTGTCAACGGAGCTCTGAACAGATGAAGGCGTCACTATAACATGGGCAGCAAAAAGAAGTTCACAGCATTAGCGACACCGCCAATGTGGATAATACATCATGTAACACTATGAACGAAACTAAGTAGTAGTATGAGCACACACGTGGGGCATACTAAGACGACGCCGTCAGTATCGGCGAATGTGTAGAGCAGGCTCCCCGCAACGAAATGGCAGCAACAGCTAAAGCAACAGGGTCTGGTAAGGAGGCAGCAACAGTTTAGGCAACAGGGTCTGGTAAGGAAGCCAAGAACAGGTAAAGGCATCACCCAGACTTCTAGTCAAAATAAAAACTGAAAAGGAAGCAATGCCAGTTGCCACGGAGATAAACAGAAAAGGATTTAACCTGGAAACCAACGAAGCCGGAATAAAGCCACGGAGAGCAGCCGCCTGAACCACCAAAGTGACTGCGCCAACGGCAGGGCGGGGGAGGGGGGAGCCAACGCTGAGCACCCCTCCCCCGCACTCCCCACACGGTTAAACTTGGCCCAGAAAACTGCACTGAACCACGACGACAGGAACGGCGAAGCGCTCGGATCTGTCAACCAATCGACGATTGGAGCAAGGCACCATTTAGATCTAAAAGGAGGCAAGCAAGGAGCAGCGAGGACTAATCGGACGGAAAAGAAAAATGCGAGGCATAACCTGAGAGTTCTTGGAACTGGCGGTGAGGTACGACGCAACGGCGGCGGCGGCGGCGATGCTTCTAGGGTTAGCTTTCGCACTGTTGCAGCTATCCCTTGACGCACCACCACTCCGGCAACGGCGGCAGGCAAAACTCCAACACAGCGGCTCTGGCGGACAACGGAAACAGAGGGGGATGACAGAGACGGCGGCACAATCCCGGCGAACGGCGACGAAAGACGCGGGCGGATAGGAGGTGCGGAAAACGGAGCTGAGGACGGAGGGGACGAGAAGAGTGTGGAAGGGAGTGGAGTGGACCGGGAGGATTCTACCAAGATTCGCGGTATATATTGGTCGGCTGGCCGATTTGGACGGGAAGCGGTGTGGACGTCACGGCGACGGAATCAATGAGGAATCTCGGAAATCCGGTCAACAGGAGCAGATTCCGATTTTAAGGCCGTTAATTGAGGGGATCAGACGGCTGAACTAATCGCGGGAGACGTGGGCATGGCTTCTTTGCTAGGAGCTAACGCGATTTGTAGTTTTAAAATTCTAAAGTTAGTTGAGCACCTATGCATGTTTGATCAGCTCTCTGAAGTATATGCAAAAAAACTAATGACAACAAAAAGTTTTGATCGGCTCTAAAGTTAATTAGAGATTGCATTCACATTTCATTTTCTGCATAAAGATGCTGCACGTTATACTATTCCTCTTCTTGTAGGATTACTGTAGATGGACCAGCACGTGTTGCAAAGTATTGCAGGGTTAACGTTAAGCTTGGATGCTTCCCTCATCGCTCCAGTGCCTTTCCACCAGCATACTCCCTACAGTAAGTCCCTAGGTTATTCGAAATCAGAGCTATTTCTCCCTTCTATCTCTTTCTTCTTCACCCACATCACCTTTCTTTACCTGAATGTCTCGATTCTGCATGTTCCTGAGCCTGAACATGAGATGCAAGTAAAATAGCAAATGCACTCTTGCTCATTTATCCTCATTTTGTATCTTGAGTTTTCCTGAACGCAAGATATCAACCATAGACTTTCTCCAAGAATATTTGATCAAATCTATTGATAAAATCTGAAGTATTAACTATTCATGGAAAACATTACCACTTCTTTCCAACCAATCAGGGCAGGGGCATCCCAGTCATCGCAGGACAAAACTTGAATTAGATTTCTCCATCAAAGTCTTACAGCACTAGCATCCCAGTCAAAATCACCAATAACCATCTCAGAAAATCTCAGCACTTGCATCAAATTATTTTATTCTCAATTGGTAATAGTTTGAATACCTTTTGCCAAATAGTTCAGCACATGTTTCAATTTCATGGATAACAATTTTATGCTTTTCAACAAGTTGTAGTCGCGGTTCACCTCTTGGATTATTTTCTAATGATGTGCACATTTTTTTTCAGCTATCAAATTGATCCGTGCTCAGCTGTCCAATTGGTCCGCGCTGTGTGAACTGATATCTATTTTGCCTGCTCCAAGTGATGTTCAGCAATTATCTACTATGGTCCTTATTTAGTAACGTTTAGGTAAACCAGAGATGAAAGAAGACATACTAGATGGAGAATATATTTGCTTAGTTGTTGATTGATTTGGATATAGTGCCCGTTCTCACTTTCTGCATTACAATGGATCAGGAAGAAATAAAGCAAAGTTTCGAGCCTCACAGTTCCTGCTCCTAATCTCCATTTTTTTTTACTTCACATATACATGGATCTCGGTTCTACTCGTTCTCCATATAAATGAGATGAGAGGAGTATCCTTTTTTTCTCTTTGATTTAATCAACACTGGACTACTCAAAGATGGCGCGGCGGGTTTTCTAGTGTACAGCTGAAAGCCTGAAAGGCACAGCCGTTCATACCTCTCAAAAGTCGGAACCATTGGACTCATCTCATTGCTGCGGTAGCTATGTAGCACGTGCATCAACAGACATCTTTTGCAAGCTTCGGCTTTGAATAGCAAACGTCAGCCTGAAGTTTCTAGGGTACATAAGAACAAGATTGCATCACTGAATCTGTTTACACCACTCTTATATGCATAAACTGTTAAGCAGTGATGAAAACTCAGGAAGCATCGACCAGATAGCCAGATACTACAATTTTGTCAAACGTAAAAACTTGACCGAACCAAAAAAAAAGAAAATAAAAAGGTACCACAGTATTGCAATATTTTCTTCTAGATCAACTGCCTTCCTATTGAGCATGATCAGAAATTGTTGGTGTAAACTTCACTGTAATCAGATAAGGAAATACTAATAATGTGCAACTTTGTTATGTCATCAAACTCCTAAGGAAATACTAATGATACCCAGTAAGATTTTCTATCAGAACAAAGATAAGAGAGAGATCCTTTCTCTAAAAAAGATGAGAGAGAGAGAGAGAGAGAGAGAGATCTTGCATCATGTAATGGTGCTGTCTCAGATCTCATCCAATTCTACAACCTGAAAACACAGTTTGGCCATTCAGCATGCAGAGACAGTAAGGCAAATGTAGCAATTTGCTCACAAATACCAGTAAGCACACAAGCAAAAGGTGATTATTACATGAACATGTGTGGACGGTTACGGGACAAGTGAGGACGCTTCACTGGTGAGATTAACCTATTTCGGAAAACTCCAGAAAGATTGTTCGTGCCAGTTCCAAAGACAGGCCCAGCTGGTTTTCGGGGTCTAGGATCAACAGGAGGCACCCCCAGAAATTTCAAATGTATCAGAGTTGGAGACTCTGCCGTGCTGCTGAAGCCCACATCTCCTCTCTCCTCCTTGGAGTATCAGGGATAAAAATAAAATCTGCAACTAGTAAATCAGCTATAGTTGTGGAGAGCCAGTGAACCTTAGCTTCGAGCAAGAGAAAGATACGTGGTTAAGATATGTTACAGGCTGCATAACAGATAGGTAAATTGTAAAACGAGATAAGGCCACTTCGTTTTGTTTGCAGTTTGATATGTAATTAGATTACCTTGCCTAGGAGGGTTACTGCTATCCAACATGTTAGGCATGCCTCCAAACAAGTTGAGCTGAGCTCTTCGGAGTCATCCTGAGTACTCAGTTTATCATACATCCAATCAAGTTCCTCTTTTGCCTGCAAAAGAAGAAATGTTCTCATCAAGTTTAGTATACAAACTGTTCCTGGTCTCATGTTAGGCAAATCAGATTCAGGGCATGTTCGGTTGCAAGGGAACGACTCCCTGGAAAGATTCCCAGCTGGATCGGTTATCTAATTTGTATAAGCTTCATGAACCGGAATCGTTCCTGGCCTCGTTCCAGTTAAACCGAACGAGCCCTCAGCTGTATCAAATCGACCTGGATTTCTCTGCAAATTTCTCTTGAAGCTCTTGCTTATCCTTGGTCAGGTTTTCAATTTCCTGTTCCATCAACTGGCACCTTTTTACCCATCTTTTGATATGCAACGTGCAGTTCTTCTAGCTTCTCTGTAAACTTTCCCTGCATAAGTTCAATCTTCTGTCTGCATTGACCAACAACACGGTTCATCTTGTACTGCATCCCCAATTCCTTTTGTCCAATACCAAATATGACACTTCTGTATGCACTTTTCATGACTGGTTGACATCATGTTAAGGAAAAAAACCTGATGATTATGATAAAGTATCACTTTTTCAGATTAGCCGCATTTGTATTAAACGTATTTCAGCTATGTATTTTTCTTAAGCTAGTAGCATTTCAGTAAGAACATGGTAAATACCTTTCTTGAGCTCGAATTAGTGGATCACTGATCACCTGGGGCGTTATCATGCTGGAACACCAAAACAAGGCAGATCCCACACTAAAATATGTGACGGTCCGTAACAGTTTTGAGGATACATATTTGTCGAGAAATCCCAGCCATTGCCATCTGAAATGAGGCCCACATGGATCACATGATAAAATCAGATTAATTTTGTATCTAATATGTAAAAAAACCACTTACATTTATCCAATCATCACTCGGATTTACCTCCACAGGTTTCATAAGGCTGAGCAAAAACAGGGTAAGAGTATTCCAGATTGTCTCATTATAAAGTAGGAAAAACTGACAGCACTAGGCCTATATATAGCACATACTCGGAAGTAAATAACCTGTTTCATTACGTCATTAGAAGTTCCACGATACAGTAAAACAGGAATATCAAAGATGTGTAAGATAGAAGTAAATAGTTTTGACAATGGGTATATTAAAAAAAATTAATAAACGTCAATGCTAGTGTATACCGCTGACCTTTTCGATAGCACTTGATCACATATTGGGCATGTGCCATCATTACTCAATATTTTCTTCGCATCCTCAGTACCTGAAAAGCGGTTAACAATGACCAATTAAATTGAAGTAAGGTGTTCAATAATTGCAAAGGTGCAGATGACACACCCTTCCTCAACATAAAAAAGAGTGCAGGGTGCTGGAGGGTACATAAGAGATGACCACAAGTGGTTGATATGGCTAGCCCTTCCGATTCCCGTCAGCAAGCATTGCACTTCATTTTGTTAAGTTATAGATGGTAATACAGATTTACCAAAACCTACATACATGAAAGGTGAAACATATGTGAGTGAAGCATAACTCATATACATATGGGACCATTAAAGCACACGTAAAAGAAAATAAAGAAACTAAAATGGATGACAGCCACGTGAATTTTGCTGGTTAGGTTGGCAAAAAGGACTGCATAATTCTAAAAAACAGAAATATACATGCATTTCGGTAGACCAAACAAGGAACATAATATCAAATTGCGCGTGAGAAAAGTTCAACTCAACTAAAATTAATAATAAACAACAAAATTGTATTTTACATCATGACCAGACTTTTAGGAATTGTCAATTGATATTTTACACTTGAGAAGTCAATGACAATGAAACTACTTATGTGTTTCTGCTCCAAACAGTTGAAATTGGTAGTCCAAATAACCATCCATCCAACTCAGATGACTAACAAAACATGAACAAAAACTCACTTGATATGCATTAGCAAAGCTACTGTATTCTGTATATTTATAGACCTGACCACTGCCTATAAACTGCAATATATATTGAGCAAAGCCCATGTTCATCCACAATTGCACATACCCCACCCAATTTTGTTCAAAAGGTATACTAGCAATTATATTATGTGTCCCAAAGGGCAAGGAAACAAGTGTATATACTGTGTGGTATCCATTTGATGCGTTACTCGACAATCTTTATCTGTGCTACAATTTTTGTCGCTGGACAGCTTAAACGATATCAAATGGCAAATACAATGTTATAAGTACCTGGTTTGCATTTTTTTTGTTTCTTGTTGTTTCACCCTGGTCATTGCCCAAACAAAAACAATCTCAGTGCTAACTGCTAATAGACTACTATATGTCGAGCTTCAACTTTATGCTCGACTATAAGATAAGCTATTCTTATGTTCTCCATTGCTAAATTCAATTAATGCCTAAAAAATTTACATCTATAGTTTTTATTTTCAAACCACTTTCAAGGCTGCATACTACAAGGTGGAATGGTCAGTCAATCATCACTTTTTTTTTACTTAAATATTGCACCAGATATAAGTTCTTTGCAAAACTTTTCGTCAAACCAATTTCGCATCTTAGCTGTACATTGACTTGATTACACAAATTGACCGTGATGAAAAGAATTCTACAGGCTGCTAGAATAGCAAGTTAGCTACAGAGACCACCTTAAGCGATAATACGAAGTCCCATAGTGTGAATTTGTAATTAATGTTGCACGAGAGTAGGTTGATATCATAAAAAAGGAAAAGAAAAAGAATAAAGAAGAGGTCATGTCAGAATCGAAGTGAAGTGATTGAGCAGATTTAAATTGCACAAAGTATTTGTTCAAATAAACATGTCATGGAACTCAATATCATTGGTAGCAAAGCAGAAAGAAAAACATAGCGCAATGAGGGTTAATTGCCCTGTTCGTTTCGCGAAAATTTGGCTTATGCTGATTTGGTGCGAGAGGAAAATATCGTTCGTTCGTTGAAAAGTAACCGGTGAAGTAGCGCTGCGGAACAGGGCATAAATAACGGTGACCTGCATCTATACTCTCCCCCCCACCCCCCCCACCCCCGCGCGGTATAAATAATTAAGGACATGAAGCCTAATGAGACGAGCATTTCTAGATGGTAATTATTTAAACAACTTACCGAGTTCAGCACAAAAGGCTGAAGCAATCATACTAAATCAGGCTGATTTCCCTAAGGTACGATCAAACGAAAGCTCTGGTGAGCAGAGTCCATGTATTCGCAAAACTCTAACCACTTCGCACACTAAAACACATTAGATTTTGCCCAGAAAAAGGCGCAGACCCAATAAAGGACATGGGTGTACCCATTTACAGCCGATAATCTTTGCAAAAAAAAAAGAACTTAGTAGGCATAATGCAAGTATACACTTTTAGTTAGATCAAATCCAAATGTAAATAGCCAAATAGCTCACGTTTAGGGTTTGGGTGCTCGTTTTGGCACAGTAAGAAGGGAAGAGAAATTGGTGGGAAAACCTGGCGAGTGCTCGTCGCCGGTGAAGGGCGCGACGAAGACCTGGGCACCTGGCTTATACTAGCTTAGGGCGGCGGCGGTCGTCGCCACCAGAAATGAAGGCCACGAGCAGAGAGAGAGAGAGAGCACGCGGGCTGAGCAGCAGGCCTCGATGCTACTTTGGGGCCTCAGGGCCTGTTTAAATGTGATCCTGGGAGCAGCCTGCTTGGCTGGGTTGCCTGTGTGCCGTTTGGATGAAAGGCCAAAATATTCTGCCTGAAGCTTTGTTTAGAGGGACCGAGGGAGTTTTTTTTTTTCAAAGGAGGGGGGCTTATATTAAATATTGTTACAGTACATCCCCAAATTACACGTAAAAAATCTAAAATAAAAATACATAATATTCTATCTAGACTCTTCCATCGTCTTCTTCCCCAATGGCTTACCTCGAACGCCGGAGCCAAAGCGCACTCCTTGTACCGAATCCAACAACCAACCCAAAACATTGGACATGCCGCAAGACCAATGCTTCGGAACCAACCCAAAATGCATCTAAATCGCTGAAAGAATATCGGCAGTTGCATCGTTGAGTACAAACATCGAAAGCATATTCATCACCTGAATACCTTGAATTCCTCTCCACGACCACCAGAGTCACTGTCCTCGGGCCTCCCAGAAGCACATTTGTAGATAAAAGGCCACAAGTTGGCCGCTTGCAGATGAAATCGACGTCTGCAACAATGATCTTGTCGTGGCAATCACCGAAGTCATCGCAGGAAAGACGTTCCCGACCAGAAATCATCAGATTTCACCAAAAAAATTATTTGAACTAAATCCTAAGCAGCTAGATATGAAACTACGAGGAAAAGGATGGGTCCCCTCTCCTTCTTGTCCCCTATAGATGCACCGGAGAGGAAGAAGGAGAGGGGCCCTAGGGTGGAGGTGACGATGGTGGCGGTGGTAGCAAGCATCTCGGTGGCGGCGATATGTAACCCTCACTTTGCTGACGAGGGAGTTTATTTGGTGTAACTAAGGACATGTTAGTAGAGTTCCACTTGCTTTAGACTTATCAAAAACAGATCCGAATCAAAAAATTTAGATAAAAGCTTCTAGCTCCACCGTTGATCTTATTCACCAAAATGCTGCCCTCTGGATTCACTAAATTGGTGGAGTAGCTCAAAGGGTGATCCACCAAATCAATCTTGGCGGAGTCAGAAAAAATTACCCGCCATGCTACTGATTATATAGAAAAAATGTTTCGCTCTATTCTTTCCCGTCGTCATCCCGTTTACTTCTGGCCTGCCCACCCGCCCCAGGCAGTTGTGCCGCCACTCGTCGGTAGCGCGAGCCCATAAGACCAGCCCCCCCGCATGCCCTGGTTGGCGGCCGTGCGTGCCCCCTGGCTGGCCGTGCGCACCACTGAGGCCAGCCGTCGTGCGTGTCTTTGGCCGGCCAGGCGCGCCTAAGGATTTTTTCCCCTGCACGCAAGTTTGTCTTGAGGAAGAAGAAGCCGAAGGCTTCTTTTCTAGCATTTGGGGCCCAAGTGAGAGTGAGATAGAGAGAAATGTAGAGATGTACCAAACACTCATGTGAATCCTAGATCCACGGTGAAGCTGCTCCACGGTGGATTTAGATGAATCTAGATCTAGATTCATTTTTTTTTGGTAAAGCTCTACCTAACGGGCCATAAAGACATGTTTTTCATGACTTCTGCTCCTGCTCTGGCAACAGATTTTGCGAAGAAATCGTATCAAATACTTTTTGAGGAGGAGTTGTTTTACGATAAATAGTAGAGGAGCCGAAGCCATTTTTATATATGGAGCTAGAGCTATAAAAAGTTGTTCCTCTTCAAGGGCTCTGGCTCCTCAAGAGGAGGGATAACTGTGCTAAATAAGCCCTAAATTTACTACTTTCTAATAAAAAAGTATACACATCTCAACGGCCCCATCTAATTAATTGAATATTTTTTCTAATTATTTTAAAATCTTTTGGGGGCATACGCTATTAAAGGCCAACCCATGCCTAGCTCAGACCCAAGCCGATATCATCTATCATCGATCCCTTTACTTGTCTTATCCCGTTCGTCTCTTTCATATTTTCG